ACTATCCTTCCCTTTCCCCCTTACCTGCCCTTTCCCCCTCCTCTGCCCTTCCCCTCCCCCTCTCCCCTCCCTCCCCTGCCTGTAGGTTCCCGTGCCGCCCCCAGTGACGGTCTCGCAGGGTATGCCAGCCGCCTTGAGCGCCTCCACTGCCGTACGTGTCCTCTCTACTACCTGTGGAAATGTACGGCAGTGAAATCCCCGGCAGCGACAACACCACATGGTACAGTTATACGTTTATTAAGATGTCATATCGCCGTGTAGGGCTTTGCTGTACGTTTCCGACGTACGATGTCAGACGATTATGGAACGGGGCCCCAGTTGCCGACCTCGATCCCAAACGCGGCTGTTGCATCAGTGTCGGTACGCTTCCGTACTGTTGCCTTACCCTGCCGTACCTGCGCCACGCGACGCGCCCTATCCCTTGGGTCCCTGACGTGTTGAAGGGCCCCGTGGTAGGCCTGCAGCCCCCGGAAGCGGACGTTGTCCAGGGAGGTGGCTGTCCGGGCCAGGTCCACCGCCTGCTGGGGGGTGTCCACACCGCATCTGTAGTAGCGGGTGGGGCGGGGGAATACGTGTTTGTATGTGTGTATGCTAATGTATGTATGAAGGTATGTATAAATACACGTCATACATACAAATATATATGACGTACATAGTGGAGGTGGGGACGGATGGCCAGGGGGTGGAAGGCGACCTCACTGCCCCATCCTGCCGCCCCCTCCGGACCCCCAGCCCCCACCCACCTGGCGCACTGGCCCCCACTTACTCGCCCTTATCTGGGCCTGATCCCAGCTCACCCGAGGTAACCCACCCGGGGGGGAGGGGGGCGCGTAACCCGCCAGGGGACATGCACAGGTAGCAGCAGGAGCAAGAGCACGCGTTCCACCAGCAACATCATCATCAGAACATTAGCATTCGGACGTCAGCAGTAGCAGCAGTAGCAGCAGTAGCAGCAGTAGCAGCAGCGGCAGCAGCCAGCCCCTCCCCCCTCCCCGCCCTCTGTCCCACATGCCCCCACCCACTACAACCTGCCTGTCCTGACCGACATTCAGCTCCAAGAGCACGTCCAGAGTGGTGCCGCGAGCTGCCGCCGCCCGGTTGAGGTGCCGCAGGTTGTCAGGGTCCTCAAAGCACACACCCACACGTGCGCCTGCGTGGCGAGTTACGTGGGTTGGCGGTTGGTTGGCTGGTTGGTTGGTTAAATGGGGGGTATATTCGTCCTTTGCACTGCACAGGTAGTGCGGGGGATCGTCGCGGGTTGCGGTGCCCCTCGGTGTGAGGGGTGTGAGGGTTTGGCTAACAGGTTGTGGTGCAGTACAGTAAGAGAGAGCTCAACAGGTCTAAGCAGCGAAGCTAAGAAGGAGGAGGGGAGTTCATTGCCTTGTCCCCAACCCTCAACCTCAACCTCAACCTCACCACATCCTGCGCCCTTAACCACGGCTCTACTTCGCCCGCCTTCTCCTACCTCCCGTCGCTTTGTAAAAGAGAGTCCGGAATACTCCTTCTTCCCAGCCATAGCCACCGTTCAAGCCCAGCTCAAACCCCACACAAGCCCCAGGGCCTAACCCTCCCCTGCCCTTCCCCGCACTCCAATGGCTCCCCAGGTCGCACCTCTTGCCCCTCGTCCCCATTCCCCTTCGCAGCATTTCCCCTACCGCCCACCTTGCCCCCCGTTCCCTCCCGCCTTCACCTCCATCAGCTGCCCCGCAGCCCCCGCCCCCACCTACCCGCCGCCGCCAGCCCCACCAGTCGGTCAACCTTCCTAGCCGCCACCACCTCATTGGTCAGCAGCAGGTCGGTTATACCGCCCTCAGCCATGGCCTCAGCCTCCACCACCTACAGGCGGCGGTTGAGGTGGTTTGTCTGGGAATGTGGACAGGGAGATAGGGGACGAGGTATTGTTGGCGGGTACCGGTGGGGCCGGGGACGTCGTACACCAGACGTCGTACTCTCATCCAGCACCGCGGTTATACTCGTTGTCATATTTGTCGTTTACCTTTTGGCAGCACACTCCCCGGGCTGCTAGTAGCCGCAGCTGCAGTTGAGCTAAGTCCGCGCACTTGTGGGCCTGTACAGGTGGGGTGTGAGCGGCAGGGACACTATGGCATTGCATGGCATTGCATGGCAGCCAGTCGTTGATTGATTGGGGTAGTAGGAGGGGGGAGATGGGGGAGGGTTTGGGAAGGGGACCCATTCAGCAAGCACCCAAGCAGGGAAGAGAAGGGATATAGCAGAGAGGGAGGTAACACTATACTTGCAAAATCCACGGTTCCGGGCAGGGAGGAGGGGAGGGGATTCCCGCGCAAACGTTTCCACTAACTCCGAGCGCAGAATCCAACGTTGCCAGAAAAATTAGAGTTTGATGGCGCGGATGGGAAACGCATGGATGGGATGATGGCCGTGTGGGTATTGCAAAGTAGGGCGCCATTAGATACCCCCATGCCCAAGCAAAGGAAGTGTCGTGGAGCCAGCAGAGCCCGGAGCCAGCCGCGGGAGTTTATGTCTGCATCGTGGCATGAATACCGCATCATCGCGGGCTCATGGACACACCTTGGCGTGCGGCCGGATGGCCACACCAGGATATGCCGCCATTGTGCGGCGCAGCTTTTCGCAGTTGCGCTCGACGACTGGATGTATGGTAAGAAGTAGGGAAGACGGCGGGTCCCGCGTCTGGCTGCCGCAGTACGGCAACTGTACCGGTGGCTTTAACAGTGCTCAATCCGTACCGTACCATCCAAGTCAACCAAGAGGGCTGGCGTGTCCACATCGGCAAGGTGATCGCCAATGTTTGCGGGGGCGCGATTGGCGGATATCGTGGCGCAGCATCTGTGGAAGAGGGAAACGCAGGGTAAACCAGCCACCACTGGTCGTTGTGGAAGCCAGGATCTCCGGCACGTGGGAAGGAGGCATATCGTCACATCTCTTGCTAGTAAAGGCACCTGATGGCAGCAAAGCGGCTTGGGCTGCGCCCTAGAAACGCCTGCTGTGCTAGCCGCATCCCTGCAAGTGGTGTCGTAAAATTTGTTTATGTTCGTATTGTTTGCCATAAATGAAAAAATGTTTGCGGTGCTTACTGGTGAAACTAAGCGTTAGACCTGCTTACGGAGCTTCCTAACTGCTAAATGTACGGGCAAAAAAAGTCTGTCAGAAGTATACAATCTTGAAGCCAGTATCGGTGCTATGAAACACATTTTGTGCTGAAGGTATGGTGGGGAAATGCATCTGACGTGATTGCCAGCTCTGTACGGCGGCTCCAGGCTGACATCCGAACTCCGAAACCAAGCGACCCCAGCGGCCAAGCAACAAATGAATTTCCTTTACCATAATCTCAAGCCATAAATAATTCCACTACATGTTATTACTTTCATCTAAACCAAACAAAGCTGCCTATTCGGGCATGTCGCGCCTTGATACCCGGCAAGGTACCGGGGTTCGGTGTGCACAGCCATGTTGACAACTAGGCCACCCAAGGCAGAGTCCAGGTCCGCCGACCTCGGCATTGAAGAATTGGATCATCCAACGGCGCCCATATAGAAGCGATGATGGCATGGGGGCCGGGTACGTGATAACGTGGTGGCAACGGACGCTCCAAGCGCACTCACCTCACGGGTCTCATCAATGGGTATGGCATCGGTTATCAGGCAAAGCAATCGGTCTGGATAAGGCCCTCTTGGCAGATGTGCGTGTGCCATCCGGGCTAACTGAAGCGCGGCGGCGTCCGCAGGACGGAGTGAGACGAAGTCCCTTCACGGTTGGGCATAGTGCAGCCAAGTGACAGCGGGGTTGAAACCTACCTAATCCTACTGGGCTAAGTTGCCAAGTAGACCATACTAGGCCGTTCGCAGTGGCGAGAGCCAGCTTCGTCGGCAGTACATCCTACGGCAGTACATATTCTCTTTCCTACAGCTGTTCGGCAGCCCGGCGAGGACATCTGCGCATTCTGCGAGGAACGCTGTGCGCATGAACATAAGGAGGCCGCGGCGGCTGGGCCTACGGTGGAGCGCGGCATCCGTAGCTGCGGACGTAGCTTTTGAGGAGGAAGCAGCGGGTGATGGACCCAAAGATCACAAGTCACAGGCACAACTGCCCTGAACTTCCGTTCATACTTTTACATCTCTCCCCGTTTAGGGGCTCAGTCTTACGGCATAGGGGCGATGTGTTTCCGAAGTGCCCGCCTTCGCTGCATCCAATGGCCCCCGGACAGAGCCCAACGCAGTTTGTCTTTCACGTTGCCGCACTAGTTTACATTCTTCCATCTCCATTGAATCCGTGTAAGCAAAGTCTTATCATGCAATCATGATACTGCCAAAGATAAACCTAATGTAAGCACGGGTGCACTGGTGGCCGTCCAACAGTGGCACGCAGATGACCCTGAGCACGAACAGAATTCCACAAGAACATCCTCAAAACAATGTTATATATACAGGTGCCAGACAGGCAGCTCTGTTGTCAGAAGTAAAGGGGCCGGCCCTCGTATGCCGGCTAACGCAAGCACCTGCACTGATATATCCATAATCCCCACTCAGGATCATCCCCACTAGCCATATGACGAAGATCTTGTGGTCGACCAGACCGTTGGTCTCCCAACTGTCGCATTATTAAGATAAGTATAAAACACAGGAGGCTGTACGTAGACATACGGTCCCTGTAGCAGTCATATGTACAATCACACAGACGCCTGCTTCGCATGTATCCACCTACGCGTCCCGACCAGCCTACAGTTGTAATCAAAATTGAGAAAAAAAGAATGCGGCGGTACCCGACCGCTCTGTGGCGCGCTGTGCCCGCTCAAGTTTATTGCAGCAGTCCTTGCCATTAGTCATGGCTTCCCGTGCTGAGGTCCTGGCAATTGGCCAGGACAACATTGCAAAACACTTTCCCAGCTGCGATCGTGATAGCAACCGCAGGGGCAACCCAAGGGTGCATATAAAGATTGAGTTCATAAAGGCTCCTACCTCAATACACATAAAGCGCCACGCACGAGGAAGCCGAGCTTGATCCAGCTGTACTAGACATGTACACGTTCAAAGAATTCCCCTACCCCACCAAAAAGACAGCAGGTACGGCCCTTGCCAATGTCCTTGTCTGCGCGGTGTTCTTGAGGTCAATTCTCACGCCAGGAGGTAGACCGCGCTGAGCAGCGCCGTCAGCAGCGCCGAAAGGTACGTGCGCCGCAAACCCGCCGCCGACCCGCCCTGGCCGCTCTCCGTGCTTGTGACGGTTGGGTCATAGTAGACGGTCGTATTGGGCGTAGGGTTGGGCAGCCGCAGTGTGACGGTCGACGTGGTCCCGCTCGTCGTCGCGTTGACCCCCACCGTCATGTTGTGTGTACCATTCTGGGCCTCGTATGCGTAGTTGGCAAAGTAAATGTTAGATGTCATGTTGTCGCCTATGGGTACCGACAGAACCTGTGTGCCGTCGGAGGCTGCGTGTCCAATCGAAGAGGAGAAACATACCGGTTTATGCAGGTGTTTTAGTTTCTCCACGGTTTTAGGTTTTCAGATGCCTGTAATCCGATTCATCATGATATCACGCGAATACCGTGAGCTAACAGCGCACATAGCCACGCAACTCATTTCAGCGACAAAAAGCGCCCAAATCCAAGGCCCAAAGCACAACAGATGCAGAAACGAGCCCCGCTATCCAAGGCTTACCGGTTGAGACGGCAGGCTGCGCAGCAGCATCACCCTTGATAAGAAGGTCGATTTCCATACTCAGTATGTTGTTGGCGTTACAGAAGGGCCTGGCGATCAATGAACGGAAGAGCGAGCCCCCAAATCCTCAAGACCAGCTTGGAAACGAAACGGCGATTACGCTGAGTTAGGCGAATTGGCCTTAACTATAACTCAAAGAATATTGGTAGGTGCACCGGCCTGAGGAGGCCAAAAGACCTTCAGGCTCGTTGTTCAGAGGATATCCACTCAAGCAGACTCTGGAAAGCAAACGGTTAAACGCAACCCGCTCACCAGTCGCTGTACTCAACGTTGAACTTAAGGCCACCCTTGCTGACGTTCACGGTCTTGTTTTGGCCAAAAGGGAACGAGGTGTTCTGGTCAAGGCCAAAGTACAGGGTCACGGTTACTGTGGCATTTGTGGTCGTCGACGAAGGTGCAGCGAGCATGCGGCGACCACTGTTAGTTGGGCAGTCAGCGCTGAAGCCTTGGCTGTCGGCTGGCTTGAGTGTCATGCGCACGTAGGTGAGGTTGGTACCGTCGGAGGTGGTGGTATTGCCGGCCGTCCATGTGGGATCTGCGATGGCAGAAGTGAAAGCAAGATGAGTCAGCCATATAAAAATGGAAGGCACGTCTGGAAATTCGGAAGGTCTGGGACGTCAGGATGGGCAGTCCGAGCCACAACGTCAAGGGGCAATATGGGCCCGGCTAACGGCTGAACCGAATGTCGACGCAGCAAGCGTCGAGTTGCTGCCCGATCTTCTTTCAAAACCCACTTGGCCAGGAGCTTTGATGCGAGTTTAATTGGCGTGAGGGGAAGCCTTGCGTTGTGACAACTTCCAAGCCGTAGGTTGGCTGCGTCTCGCCCCTGTACGTCACCGTGCCTGTACTCGCATATCAGGATCACTTCCTATCCAAAACCCGAAACCAGCGTCTGCCGTGAAGGCTACCCATCTACCTATATGGTTCACTGGTCTTGCTGTTTATCTAGACTGATCGGTTAATGGAGCATATCACTATCTCAAGTCTCAAGCGGGGCGGGATTGCCGACGCAATCCCGATACATAGTTGGCACTATGGTAGGTTGGACACGCGGTTCTTGATCAGATGCAGCCCTGTCGCTGTGCCCTCACTCCAGTGTTTCCTTCTAAACCACGTCCCAAGCCCACGTAAGGACATACGCTTGGACGGACCTGCGCTAGCCAAGCTCTCGACGCTGTGCCCTTGAACCTTCTTGTCACTTGAGTCCCGTTCCTCGAACTTCGAGAACCTCAGCTGCAAATATGATGATAAGCTCGTATTCGGATATATTTGGAAGTTGGGGGACTTGCCGAGGAACCGAACCTGCAGCCAATTCAGGAGTTTTCGAAGGCAGACCAAGAGCGCAGACAGTTAGGAATGCGTCCAACGTGTAGACAAATAGGCAAATTACAGTTTGCCAATTTTTCACTTTCCATGGAGAATCCCAAGCTGGTTATCGGTCGTCGCAAGCAGTCCAATTTCATAAGGGTTTCAAGTGCAGCGCAGAGTGAGATCATATAATCATCTGAAGCCACACGTTGCTTCAGATATATACGTTGCAATTTATTCAAGCTGTCATGCATAAAGCCGACAGCACTCGATCAGCATTTGTAATGCGAGCTTGCGTAAGTAAGCTGGGTTAGTTGGGCGTAAGGCCCAATGCGTAACTGTTAGACTAACTGTTTCGCAACGGCCCGTGTCCTCAGGGCCGTCATTTATTGCGCGCATTAAGCTGGTTAGCTTATCTTGTTTTTGTTGTTCAGCGCGCGCTGATCAACAAAACAGGTCCCGCGCCTTCGGCGCGCTTTCTGTTACTACACCGCTGTGCCTTCGGCTCGTCAGCGAGACCCATCGGGTAGAGTGCAGTGGAGAATATATAGCACTAGCACCATAGAGTTAGCCCACCTTATTGAAGCACCTTTAGTAGTGCTAGTGGCGGCGCATGTCCCGGTATCGCTAGGCATGACTCCGCTGGTGGAGGCAACTCACAGCTATCCTACATAGCTAACTGGAATGTCACAGACTGGCATTTCCTCGAGGGCTTCTGCGACGCAGTTTATGCCCCCTGCTTTCTCCGGAGCGGATCAACAACTCCCGCCC